AATTACATATAAAACTTCGTCTATACTCTAATAAAAAGTTTCCCAGACCAAAGAGGTTACCTTAATACCAAAAAAAAAAAAAATTAAGTCTTTATATAGTTGATATATAATTACTTATATAAATTAATCAATAAAAATACAAGCAAGGCCTCACCTTAATACCAAAAAAAAAAAAATAATAAAATTTTGTTAATAAAAATAAAATTTAGTTAATAAAATTATAAAATTTAGTTAATAAAAAATGAATTAATATAGATGTAGCCGTAGGCTACATGTAGCCTGTGTAATATTCGTAATAGTAATATGATTCTAGTATAACATATGATACAATCATTTGTAATAGTAATGTGATTCTAGTATAATATATGATACAATAGTGCATATACATATAAAAGAAAAATTCAATTGTGATTACTATTACAAATCGAAGCTAATATAAAGTATACGCTTACTCTAAAGTAACTGTTTGACCATCTTTGTGCTGAACGAGTATTCCTATTCTTGACAATACTAGCCTGGTAAAGGCTGCGTGGTAAATGCTTAGAGCTTTTTTTTTTCTGGTGCAAAGAAATTAAAACGCTTGCATTTCATTCCAGTGCATAAAGTGTCCAATATATAAACAAGATGGGTTGCTAGTAAGTTAAATAGTATAGCAGTTATATATTATTGATTTACTTACTACTGTTCTGTTAGCTCCAGCTATACTATTTATTCCAACCATTCTGTTCATTTCAGCAGTTACATTCATTATGACTATTCGATTTGTTTCATATCAATAATATATACAGTATAACAAGATGGGTTATTAGCTAGCTCTTTTCAATTAAATATTACAGTACTGTGATTATATTATTGGGTTACTTACTATAGTTTTGTTGACTCTAGTTGTTCTATTTGTTCCTGTTGTCTGGCCATTCTATTCATTCCAGTTGTCTAGCCATTCTATTCGTTCTATTCACAAAATATATAAAACAAGGTAGTTATTAGTTTGCTTATTTAATTAAACAGTACAACCAACTAGCAATTGTATAATACTTACTCTAGTTCTATAAGTTCTAGCTGTTCTATCCAAGTATTAATAATGCAAAACGAAGATACATACGAAGCAAGATAATTTATTTTAGTAAACATTGTAATGGATTTATTCGATTATATGAAAGTTAAAGCTATAGTAACTTATTATTAATAAGTTACTATAGTTTTAACCTTCATATAATCGAATAGGCTTAGTATTTAATATATTAGTCATTTACTTACTTCCTTATTATAATAGTTCCATCCAAGCATCAAAATTGACTAATGAAAATTTAAATTTGAATTCACCGGTGCCACTTATTAATGAACAAACATCTGATAGTATTAGTATTAATAATGAACAATCATCAAATAGTGTTATTGATATATCTGAATCTTTTTTACCAATTCCAATACCAGAATTTGGTATGCCGTTTAAATCATAGACAGAACTTGATAGATATATTGATGCCTATTGTAATTCTAAAAACTTTTCTAAAGTTATTTATGGAGCAGAATATAATAATAAATAAGAAGGCGTTGTCGTTACAAGTGTGAATATCAGGGCAATAATCAAGGAAAGAAGATAATGATTGTTGAAAAACAGCGCAATACATATTCCAAATGTAGTGGATGTCCATGGGTTATAAATGCTACATACCCAAAGAAAACTGGTATTATTAGTATTACCTCCCTGTATTTAGAACATGAAGACCATCCTTTAGATCCTCTTACCAAAAAATTTGGTCTTACTCATCGAACATTAACAGAGCCAATGTTGGCTGATATAGAATTCTGGACAACAAACGGGAATCTTAGTATGCATACTCAACGTTAATTACTTGAAGCGAAGTATGAAGATGTTTTTTTTTTACTCCAAGATCTATCAAATGCTATTCAAAGAGTTAAAGCTGAACAAAATATTAATTGTGAAACTGCAACACTAATTAATTACCTTATTGAGCATAAAGCTAATGATATTCAATAGACTATATATTGGGGTGTAGATCCAGCAACAAACTCTTTAGTATCACTATTTTGGATGATGCCAAAACAATATGAACTTTACTTACAATATAGTGACATTATACAATATGATAATACTTACTCTACCAATAAATTTAAAATGGCACTTGGGCTTTTTGTTATCGTTAATAATAATAATTGGTCTCGATTAATTGGGCAAATGTTAATGAATAATGAAACATTAGAGAGCTTAGAATGGGTATTTGACTCTCTTATTAAAGGAACCGATGTTTTTCCCTCAGTTATTATTGATGCTGCAATCACAAATATAATGCCTAATACCTACCATATACATTGTATATACCATATCGAACAGAATTTATTAAAGAATCTAAAGTCTAAATTGGAATCGGAATATAATGACTTCATTAAAGCTTGGTACAAAATAAGAAATACTATATCTCAAACTGAATTTGACTATTTATGGGACTCTTTACTTGAACAATACCCAGCCTTAGCGTCATATCTTAATAGATCACTTGGCTCCCAAAAATATAGATAGGCTCTTTCTTATATCTTGCGTATTTTTACAGGAGGGATTCAAAGTACGCAAAGAGTAGAAGAGCAAGATATGATAATTAAAAGTGCTGTTAATAGTCATATATCTATCTTGGATGTATTTAAAAAAATTGAAGTACAATTTAATCGTGTATCTATTATGATCCAATATAAAAATTGGACACATTCAATAACCGGCTCAACTCTTATACATTCAAGTCATGACTTTTCACCTATAATCGATAAATGGATTATTGACTATTTAACTCCAGCGGCCCTTTCTATGCAACGACAAAAAATAGCACAAGCTATCTGGTACTTTACTTAATATTCCTTAATTTCTATCAGTTGCAATCTATATAGTTATTATTACAATATGAATTTAAAAAAATACTAGGTATTCTTCTCAACAAGTTGATAAAGATCATGCTTTTAAGTTTGAGAATAAAGATGAATTGCTTAATACTGGTATTGCTGAAAACACTATTGATGTTCCATTAATACTCTTGAAAGAGCTTATTCTGACTAATAAATATAATGATATTGTTGAGATTTGGGAACTTGTTCGTCATAGATGTACAAAAAAAAATTATGTTGTACTTTTTAATAATAAATCTCATCTTTGTATATGTTTTGGTCTTGTTCAATGTGGTATTGTATGCTGTCATTTTTTTCATTTGTTAGAAAACTCAACGTATGCAAAATTTCATGTTATGCTTATATCTAAATGATGGTATGATAACGAAAAACAAAGTGAACATGCCTCAATTCTTTGTCAACAATCTTTTACTGATGGCTTTCAAGAATCTTCTAATGCTGCTTTACATACTGAATTCTGCCTAGAAATGTCTTATAAAACTGTTAATATTTCTTATGAATGTGTTTATAATTCCTTAAACTAACGAAAAGAATATGCAACAACTAATGGACTTTCAAAAAAAGCAATTCAATTAGGATTGGAAGTAGGACCATCAGCGATAAAAGAATTAAACAATTTTATGACAAACTTTATAACAAAATATACATCAAAACAGAATACATCAAAACATAATATACCAAACATAATACACCAATACAAAATCAAAAATTACCTCGAAAAAACCTTAAAAGAACTTTGATGACTAAATCTTATAATATACCAGGCAGTTCTGATGAATCTGACAGTATTGATTATCAAAAATCGCTTCAAAAAAACTTTAAAAGAACTTTGATGACTAAATCTTATAATATACCAGGAAGTTCTGATGAATCTGATGGCATTGATTGTTCTGACTCAAGTTATGATAACAAATCAGATAAATTGGTACCTCAAGATATTGAGAATATAGATCCATTTTCAATTCGGGACCCTATTGTTCATGCAAAAAAAGGTGCTTTATGCAAAAATTGGTTTAAGGAATCACAGGAGGTAGAACAGAAAAATACAAAGCATCAGAAAACTGAAGGTCAGAAACTAACAGAATGTCAGCAGTGCCATAAATTAGGACATAATAAAGCTGGCTGTGAAAAATGGCATTGAAAAAATCAAGTTCTATATTCTTTTTAAGTGTAGTATATTGTGTTATTGAAATATGTATATGTGCATAAATTAAATATTTATTGCTTTTAATTTTCTAATTGAATTGTTAATACATCTGCTTATCTGAAGTTTTATTGTGTCTTTTCTTAAAAATAACCTTATAGAACATAGTAATTACTATGTTCCATAAGGTTATTTACAAGGCAAAGACTATATATTATTCGAATTAAGATTGTGCTTTATATAAAGTAAGTTAAAAACAGTAAATTAGTGGTTAATATTTACAAGTTATTAATTAGAATAGTTGGTAGATTAGAATTAGTAAGTTGGCAGTTAAAAAACTCTAAATAGTTTGTATTAGAATTAGATTTAGAAATCTATTGTTAGCAAGTTATAGGTAGATTAGTTAGTAGTTGTGAGCTAATGTATAAATTTGTAATTAGCAGATTATTAAGTAGCTAGTTTAGTGGGTTTAGTGGTTGGTTAGTATGTTAGGGTTAGAAAGTATTAGTTAATAGTTGGTGGTTAGAGCTAGTGTTTGAAGTTAAAAAGTATTAGTTAGTAGTTAGCTGGTTAGCAGGTTAGGGTTTAGAGTTAGGAAGTATTTGTTAATTAGGTGTTTGAAGTTAAAAAGTATTAGTATATATTAGAGTTAGAACGTATTAGTTAATAGTTGGTAGTATTAGTTAGTAGTTGGCAGTATTAGTTAGTAGTTAGCTGGTTAGTGGGTTAGGGTTTAGAGTTAGAAAGTATTCGTTAATTAGGTGTTTGAAGTTAAAAAGTATTAGTTAGTAGTTAGCTGGTTAGCAAATTAGGTTTAGAGTTAGGAAGTATTCAATAATTAGGTGTTTGAAGTTAAAAAGTATTAGTGTATATTAGGGTTAGAATGTATTAGTTAATAGTTGGCAGTATTAGTTAGTAGTTGGCGGTATTAGTTAGTAGTTAGCTAGTTAGCAGGTTAGGGTTTAGAGTTAGAAAGTATTCGTTAATTAGTATTAGTTAGTAAATCAGAGTTAGTAGTTAGTGGGCTGTAATTAGTATACTGTAGTATTAGATGTATCAGAAAGTTATAACTACCAAGCTTAGAGATGTAATCTGTTTACAGTTTTTAGCCTGAATTAACCATAATGCAGGCCAAAAAATGGCAAACAGTTCACATCTCTATGCGATTACTATAAAATCTTGAATAGCGAGCATGGATGTCATTTCGAAATCTTGGTCTAAATTAAACTTAATTTGGACTGAAATTTGTAATTCCATCTCTGCATGTTATTTCGGGATTTCTCATTTGCCACTAGGGTGTGACTAGTGTGTGTGACAAATAAGCAGTTATTATATGAGTTAATTAGTCAATTAGTTTTTGTCACACTTTATGATTCTTGATTGGTCACACCCTAGTGGAATTAGCTATAATATAACTATTTATATAGTTATATATATATATATTATATATTATATTACATAGGCTACATGTAGCCGTGGCTACATGTAAATTTTCCCAATAAAAATTATAAAATTTAGTTAATAAAATTTAAAAATCCAGTAATAAATAATTAATTTTTTTTTTTTTTTTTTTTTTTTTTGACGATCATGTCACAACTTTATTTTATACTATAGAATTTACACTTATAATA